TGATGATGACGAACTTCCACGGCTTTTAGCATGTAGGCGTTATTCATTTTAATTGAACTTTAAGGTTTATATATCTTTCACATGAACTCATGTGACAGAAAAAATTCTCGTAAAAAATATTTTTTTAATTAAAAGTAATTAGTAGTTATTGGGGGAGGCCTTTGTCCAGCAGTGGACGTCATTTGGCTGAAACGAACGAACGGACGAATTAAAAGTAGCACTCGTTGAGTTCGAGTGATGTTCGATCGAACTTTTTCGGTTGTGAACAAACTGCGAACGCACAATCTTAACAATTTGTATTATTCGAATATATTTGCGAATGTGCATCGATTGCATCTGAATCGAGTGCAGGTCAATTGCCTTTGATTGATCGATTGCGTCGCTCTAAATGTCCCACTTGCTTAATGAGAGTTGACCATTGACTCCGATGCTGCGTAGATTGCAGCATACAGAGTGGAAACGATAAGTGATCTCACTCGATTATTTCTAAACTATACGAGACTAGCTCTCCGCCCGCGGCATCGTCCGCGTGGAATTTTGTCTTTCACAGAAAAACTTTATCACGCGCGTTCCTGTTTCAAAAATCGGGATAAAACTATCCTATGTCCTTTCCCGGGACTCAAACCATCTCTAAGCCAAATTTCATCAAAATCGGTTCAGTGGTTTTGGCGTGAAAGAGAGACAGACAGACATAGTTACTTTCGCATTTATAATATTAGTATAGATATCGAAAATCTAATTAACTACTGATCCTGAAAGTGCATCTCAAGCTCTATCAAACGGTGTCGATAATAAGTTACAGAACAAACTGGATCTATCCGATAGTTCAATGTTTCTAGCTTCCATAGACGAAGGACGCCACTTCGAACAATATTAGAAGTGTTAAAAATTTAATAATAATAATAATAAACTCTTATTATAATAAACTCATAAATTGTATTCTTTTAACGTTGGTTTTAGGCTTTACTTGCTATGAGAAACTGCACTCATGCCACCGGGCTCATCTACTTACTACACCGGACAGTGGTACTAAATGTATGGAAGCTGGAAACATTGAATTTTCGGACATATCCAGGTTTTATTTCCAGGTTTTTGTAACCAATTTATTGATGCCGTTTCATAGAACTCGTGAAGAACTTTCAGAATCAGTAACCAGTATTTCGATATCTTGTATAGTTTAGAAATAATCGAATGAGATCTCTCATCGTTTTTAGTTTCCACCCTGTATAAATTGGAGAAATGATATGCCAATGCAGTTCAGGAACGTTTAGTGAACTATCGGCCGCGGTTTATTATGATAAAGCAAAGTCCATTCACGTTAACTGCAATCAAATCTTTTAACGTTCGCAAATATTACAAGGCTCGGATGGGTCATTATTGTAAGTAGGTACGAGTACAACTTTGTTAGAACTTTTAATCGATTTTTTATAAAATCTTTTTACATTTATGGTTTTCTATTGGTGACTGAGATTTACTATCATTATATTTAATACTTTTAGATATAATGAGACGAAATATAAGCACTTTGTTTGAATGGTTAAATTCAAACTTTTTGAAACTTTTTCACACTTTCAAGACGCGTGAGAATATAATAATATCGATTTTTTAATTTTATCAATGACGTAGTTTGAAACCACACTAATGACGTCACGACTTGTGAATCATAGAGTAGGTTCTACGTTCACGTTTTCCTGTAATTTTGTGTTTTGTTTGGACCCATTCTTTCATATGAATCAGTTGGGTCAAAAACTTTAAAAATACTTAACTGTTAGGAATCTGAAACGAGTCGTCATTAAGTTATACTTATTACTTAGATAAACATAGTAGGTATTTGGTTATCAAAATAATGTTTCACGAAAACGCATGTCATGTAGGCTATAACTATAAGGCTGAGTTGCACCACCTAACTTTGGTCGTAACTCTGGCGATAACCGGTGCTTTTTGTATGGAATTTTACAGATTTTTGACGTTTGTCAAAGTTAAAGTAAGGTGGTGCAACCCAGCCTAAGCCTAGACAATGATGTGACAGTTCAAATTTAGTGATTTGAATTTAGAATTCTGTCTAGACAAACTCTTGACAGCGAATCAGCAATCGAACGCCGAATTCTGAATTTGAAATCGTTCCAAATACAAAAGTTATACAAACGAATTCCAGTTTTTATAGAACGCGGCCAGTAAGCCGTGATTCAGCCTGACCTTCGGAGGAAAGCGAAACCGGTGTGGGTCATCGCGCCGGCCGCGCTCGCTTTCGAGAGAGGCCGTGGACGGAGCCTCCTCGCGCCCTCTGCGCTCCTGGTACACTGACGACGTTTTACATTTTCCTGGCCCCGTGCCTAGGTTGCGGCACGATGCGGGCCACAATACTTACTTATCGACGATTTTAGACGAAGAAGTTTTTTTAGTCACTTTTGAGTTTTGAGTGCAAAAAAACTATCAAAAGTCAAAACCACTTGACCGATTATGAGTTTTGACTGTAACATAATACATACGAGTATCTGGACCGGCGGATTTTTTATTGGGTTATACAATTGAGTGTGTATCTAGTACCTACTCGTAATTCTTAATGTAGGTGATTGATTGATTTGATTTGAATGTTTGTCATCTAGTCTTCCTAGAACTTTCAATAGTGGTCATTTATTTTATACTTATTGATATGATAACTATATTACAAGAACAACAATTTAGGCTGAGTTGCACCACCTTATTTTAACCGTAACAGTAACAATAACCGTGGCTTTTTGTATGGAGTTTGACAGATTTTTGACGTTTGTCAAAGTTAAAGTAAGACGGTGCAACCCAGCCTTAGTGTCGTTTGATCAATCAGGAATTCTGACTGAATGGTTTTTCCTAAAAATACTTCATTCGATATGACTTGGAAACTTTTTGCGATTACTTAATTTGATATGCATGTCTAAGATTGAGTTGCACCATAACTTTGACAGTAACTTTAACGATAACCGGTGTTTTTGGAGTTTGACAGATTTTTGACGTTTGTTATGGTTAAAATAAGATGATGCAACCCAGCCTAAGTTATTTTAAAAGGTGTTGGATTCACACTTTTGTCTTCCTTATTCATACCTAAATACTTATAATACGCTTTAGTACAGTAAAGATTGTTTTCGATCTACCCAGCAATCGTGAATCGACTGTTATCAATTAAGTAATTCATATTTAATTGTGGTGAATTGAAGTCGATACCTACTTAGGCCCAGTACGGCTAGCACGAAAAACTTTCGAGTTCTAATCGTTTGCGTATTCGAATCGCCATCAAAAGATTTAGTACGAAAACTACAACAGCGCCCTTGTGAACGTGTCGTAAAGTGAACTGAGTATGACGAATGGTCGCAGGAAACTTATTTTGAGAATCAAAATTGTTACGTTTTCGTTTTATTCGAAGGTTGAGTATCGAATTTTGTCGAATACGCAAACGATTCGAAGACAAATTTTGTTCATACTAGAGGTACGGGTTTTTGATCCGTAGTGAACAAGTTGTTAAATATCGACAGGATTCGTTGTTCGAACGATGGTATACTTTTAGTACATTTTTAACTATTAGTTTATATTTTGTTAACATTCCATTAGTAACGTAATTTGTCAATTAATTAATTGAGTTAACTACGGATCAAAAAAGTTATCCTCAGTTAGTTAGACTGCAAAAGTAAAATAACTTTTTGTATGTAGGTACCCTTTGTTGTTCATACTTACGATGTAACTAAAAAGTTGCTTAATACTTACGCTGTTCACAAAGGAACTCAGTCCTTGGTCGAGTCAGGACTTGCTCCAACGCTCCAGGAGACTAATGTTTGACGTCAGCATCAGCTCAGAAGTCGTAGTCGGTGGTAGATGCTCCAACTCTGCCCGAAGTTACGTCAGGAGTAGACAAGGTTTTGACTTTTTGTATTTTTATTTGATTGTTCAGATTTATCAGCCACAAGCGGTGAATTAAACAGCTGATCATCAATTTACGGATGTTAAGTAGTTATTTAGTTACTGTAAAATTGTTAATTTTAAAAATACGTAGTCACTTTTTAGCTCTTAATAAAGACTATGAGATTGATTGATTGATGTCAATCACCTAATAAGGACCGCGACCAGCTCATAATCATAAAAGTTGACAGACACCACATTCAGTATCCCCACTTCAAAATAAATTATATTCATAACCTACTTAGCTTTATTTCATTATCTCCAAGAAAAGAGAAGTACCCCACTAGATCATTAACTTTTAAGGTGAATATACACTGGAGCATTTTCTTGAGCATGTGACGTTCTTACGAATGGTAGGCACAACAAAAAGAAGCAAACAAGTAAAAGCTCCATTTCCAAATCGGACACTTAAACAATGAGTATTATAGAGCAGCTCGTTGGTCTGTTACAAGTTAATGCTTTAGTCTATACTCACCTTTATGAGTACGATTTTGTGTCAACTGTTATGTAATTCAGTTTATTTAGTTTTATATTGATTCATACTTACTCGTACTTCAGAAGTGCTAAGCTAAATAATTAAAATTTAACCTATGACTTCATTTCCTAAGTGTGAGGTGTTCAAAATGAAATTTTAATCTAATCTACTATTCTTCATTTTTAAGATGTTTTATATTATGTATAATTGTGTTTAGATAGTCCAGAACAAAGAATTCGTGTACATTGTATTTCTATGATGAAAACATTTTTATGATTTAGTACTATTGAACCAAAAACATTGAAATCATAAGGAAGAATAAGAGGGATTTTTAAACAATTTCAATTAATTATTTAAAGTTTAATAGGTACTAATATTAGGTTTTCAACTGCACGAATTCTTTGCCCTGTAATTTTACTGATATGTTTTTCATTATACTAAATAATATATTTTGTGTGTGATGTGTGTATTTATGCTCACTTAGCCTGATTCCTGCCTAGATAGTAGTGTTTCCTAATTTTTAGGGGAAAACATAATAAATGCATTTGTACCAGCATTCGCACTGAGCAAAAGGGTTGAAAGGATAAATGAAACAACATTGTTTTTCACATTAAATTTATATTAACTCACAGATCTGAAACCAGCACTACTGCTATCGCATATTTAAGACGTAAACACCACAATAGTAGTCGGGATACATACATTATGACGCCATAACCTGAACCATATGCCGCTGGCCATGGTTGATTTGACAAAATTTCTGCGTTCCCGTCAATCGTGAGATAAAGGGGAAGAAATCTTGACAAATGTTATACATAATCATGAAATCGCTTTGCTTAAAATTATACACAAAATTCGCTGTGGATATCTGCAATTTGTTCATATACAGTACAATTACACAAATGTATACCTCGGGAATAACACATGATCGGATGTATCTGTAAAAATAATTGAGTATCGATATTATAATAGATATGAACAAATTACAACGCATAGCATATAGCTTTCGCCGTAGCGGTGTGACAGATCCGTCGCCTTAAACTAGTATAATTCTATGACCAAAACTTATCTAATACAGCGAGGAAGCGGTAAGAAGTGTATACCTTATACATAATGTATTTATCTTTTTTTTCTTGTTGGTGCGAAGACTATGCACTCCTCAGCGCCCCCACCGTACTGGTTTAATTGCGCTACGCTATAATAAACAAATTTCAATAAACGATAGAAAGCATGCACTTCCTCCTGCTACTCGTATCAACACGATTGGACGAGGGAACCATTTTAAAAAAAAAACAACATCTTATCGAATTTTACTCTTCCAATTTTACTCAACTCATTGTAACAGAAATCATCTGGTAACTGATAATTAAATTAATACATTATACACAAATATGATCATCACAAAAAATCTTACATCTTATCACTTAGGTGCTATTGTTATAAACTTGAAATCGCTACGTTAAACTTATTTCAAAATAAGTCTATCGATGAGTACGATAATAGAATATGATAAATAACAAATTCATCGTTATTTTATATTTACATTAGTTTATATTCTAATTAATACTACTAGTGTGTGCTTTAAACAGTATGAGGAGAGACAAACATCCCGTATACAAGGTGGAAGGGGGAGGCGGGCAAAAACTAACACCAGGAACTCGGATCTTTCCGGAACTCGACTAGTCTGATTCCTAGTCACTTTAGTTTTTCGGTCCCTATTAAAAATCGCAAAAAAACCACGTTGATACTACAAAAATAAAAATAACAATTAAACTCACTGGTTTAAAATCACCTTTAGTCTGAATTCACTGTCAAAGTTTTACGCCGACCTGTCCTTTACACCCTGTATATATATTGTATACATATATATATATTTATGAGGGCGAGATGCCGGGGGCTGCGCAAGCGACTGTCTCCTACAGTAAATAATATATTTAAACGAATCACTTTCGTGGAAGGCAGTATGAGGTATATTGTTTTCGTGCGCCAGCAGAGCCCGGCACCCGCTTCACAACACTAGATATTATATTTCTTATACTCATTAATTGAGGTAGATAAGTTTCAAATATTGTGTCACTGTTACATTATTGCTATGAAGAAAATACTTCTGTTAATTATACATTTTCTCAACAATATACGTAATAACATTTGTATCCTGTATCTATAAAAACTTCACAATAATTTGTACGGATATGAAATGTGCATAGTCGACCACGATCGTGTTGTTTATACAACCGCAGTACCATGACACAAGAAGTATATATTTGTATATGTAATATTATAATATTTCTATAATATAATATGGAGTACTATATCGTATCAAAATTAACATGAAATTTCATTCGTATCTAAGAGGTAGGCCTTTTCTGTCCATAATATAATATAACATGACAGATATTGCTTTTTAATTTATCAATCAATTTATGTATAATAAATATGTGTTTGTATATACGGATAGAACAGTAGCTGATGAGGTAGATCAACATTGAGTTTATACTATTTGTATAAAAATACTTCTGCAATATAATCAACATTCAAATACAAACATTATCAAAATTAAGTGGATATAATGTTCATATTGCACATCTTATGCAGTGATAAACGAATTCTTGGTTGTAATAATGCGACCAATGATATGAGGCGCGGGCGCGTCCCGCACGTACGCGACGAGAAGCGGCGCCCGCGCACGTGGCCTCGATATGTCCCGTCAAACTGTCAATTCACCGATTTTCACGTAATATGTACAAGGAATTTACGATTCTCATAATAATTTCTTTAGCAATACATCATCAATAGTCGTGACATATTAATTAATACTATACAAAAAACATTTACATTATTATTTTAAATTATTGCTAGAGAATTTCATTATTTTTATTACGCTAAAAACATTAAAAATAAATCGTTTCGCAAACAGTTGGCGGAATAATTATTTTGGCAACGTTTAGGAAGACTACTTTCCTACCACTAACGAAACAGGAATGTATAAACTAAATTCGTTCATAACACTTGGTAACTAAAATTGGATATAAATTATTTTCATCCATTCACGAAATAATTCTGATTTTAAACAAAGAAAGTTAACTAGCTTATATTAAAACAAATGTTAACAGACAAAATAATAATAGGAAGCACCGGGAAATTATCAATAATGAGTTATAATCAATAGAAGAATTTTATATCTAGAACAAAACTGCTAGTGTCTACCTAGCACTCTCAGGACGCCAGTACTGATGCGGACACTTGCGGGGCAGCGCGACTGCGACGCGACCGTGACGTGACCGCGACGACGCGGCGACGGGGCCGCGGCGCGGCGCCTTCGGCTCAGACCGGTCCCGAACTAGTGAAGCCCGCCTGGACTTATCGAAACACGAATCACTACTACTAGGTGTTACACATATAATTGGATCAGTATACCGATCACATTGTACTCTTGGCGAAACTATCAATAATTTGGCATCAAATCGTTATTCTCAGATAAAATTTCTTTTACTGACATCGCACTTTCACTGGAAAACATTTAAATCAAAACATTTACTATTAACATGACAGGTGCCTAATTACAATAACTGGCTGGCAAACGTCCCATTCAATAGGTATATACAGAAATTATTCTACTTAAGTAAGTACTTTTCGAAATACAAAGTGATTTTAACGTTAACAATCATTACGAAGAAATAGAATTTTAACTAAAATAAATCTATGGTCCATAGATTACAATAAAATTAAGATATGTTGCAGAACGTCTAGACGACCACTACACTCGACCTGAAATAATAATATTACCTGCTTTACCTAATATTTTTTATAGTTCATATGTAAAATTGATATGGTTTGATCTAAAAAATATCGCAGACTAAAACGCGAGCGTCATGTAATTACACGTTTAGCGCCCAGACAGCCAGGCATGTAAAGTCACCTTGCGTGAATGCAAGGTTAAGTTGAATGAACAACAAAAACTAACTAGCCGGCGCGCTAGAAACCCATTGGCGCAGTTGTGTCCTCACGGGGACCTCCGCGTGGCGGGAACCGAACCGAATCTCAACGGGCACGGAATACGTCAACAAACCCACTCTCAGTATGCGACGTCACCTCCCGTCCGATCAGTCGTCGCAATGTCGTGCGCGCAAATACTCTATCTGATCGTCAAGTACGAATCGCGTCGAGTCTTTCCGTAATAATGATAAACCGAAACATAACATAACACCGATTAAACATCATAGACTACGCAACTAGGTAAAAATTATAAATTATTGCAAAGTTCCTATTTTCGTACTCGAAAATGATATGTGCTCGCGTCACTTACGAATTATCATTTTTAATTAAAAACGATCTGATGCGAGTTTGGCGGCGAAGTCGAAGTCGTCGACGATATCGAAGACGACGAGGAGTTCGACGACCGCGAGTTTTTCTTAATATGAGTATCGAAATGCTTTACCATGTGATCCTTTCTTATAAACGCTTTGCCGCAATGGTCGCACGCGAACGGCTTGCACCCGGAATGCAGGCACATGTGGCGCCGCAGGTCGGTTTTGTGATTGAAAGACTTCGGACACTCGTTACATTTGAAGGGTTTGTTGTCGGTGTGCTTTAGGTAATGACCCTCGTAGGAAACGTCGTCAGAGAATCGTTTACCGCAACGATCGCATTTAAATGGCTTCGCGCCCGAGTGGAATGTTTTGTTGTGCTGTGTGAGATAGCAGGCTTTGTTGAAAATTTTGTCGCACTCGTAGCATTTGTGCACCGTGGCCGGTGCGGCCTTCTTGACCTGGTTGCGCTCGGCGAGCGGCGTGGTCACCGTCGAGGAGATCAACGGCGAGCCGCGGTTCTCATTTTCCGCCTTCGCGCTCTCCGGACTAGCAGGAGATTTCATTTGCGACCCGTAATTCTCTTTGTTCGCGTAATCCATTATATCCTCTATCTTCAGTATTTGAAGCTGACTAGCATCTGTACGCAGGATATCATCTTCGCGTTTTATCGTTTTACCGCCTACTGCATACTCGTACGGATAAAGTTTGACGTGATCTGAACTGTAACTAACGACATTGTCTTTAGTAGCTCGCGGCGAGTAGCTATAATCGTACGTGTCGATTCCCTGCCCGCATATCTCGATATTACTATATTGCAAAGGAGTGTTTACCGGATCGACGATGATGTATCCTGCGGTCGACTCGTCAGCGATAACTTGACCCCCCACGTTAGGCTGTGTGATATAGTTTGAAACATAAACGCTGAAGCTCTGCGTTTGGAGCTGGGCGAAACTAGGCAAGCGTCCACCCGCAGGCTCACTAGACGTTTCTTGTTCCATAACCTCGACATCCTCTGGTGCTGATTCACCAAAAGTAGCCGGACTGGCTATAGGCAGATTGTTGATAGCCATATCCATAACGTGGGGGGCCATCCCGTTTGGGTAACTCGGTGCTATAGTCTGCTGAAAATTCTGACCCAAATATAATGGGGTGTGCGTGGGGTCCGGAACCGAAGGCGCCAAAGGATCCGTAGACCTCTGGCTGTACGGGTTGACACCCAAATGACTGAACGGAGGCAGCGTGTGCGCCGTAAGCGCCGGCGTACTCTGAGTTAGCGGCGGAGTTGAAATATTGCTGGTTGATACTGATAGCAGGCCCCTCATATGATGATTTTGAGAAACAGAGGGACCTGCTTCCCCGTTTGGGGGATTCCCAGCTGTTGAAATTGCGACACCCTTTGAACCCTGCTGAGAGTTATCGTTAGGATTCCCTATACCTGGCGGTTGACTACCTATATTGAGCGGATGTGACCCAACTTGGTGCTGTAACGGATGATTAGCTAAAGGATTATTACTGAAATTATTATCTAAATTACCCTGTTGAAGATGCGTATATGGTGACTTGGACTGCATGGTGGCCACGCGGTGAGAGCGGTCGAAGTTCTGCGATGCGTAGGGGGACTGGAGCGCGGAGTCGTCGACGCTGCGGCCGTCGTCGGAGGGGGCCGGGCTCTGCGTGTTGGAGTCGGCCGACTGCTGCTGTGCGCGCTGCAGCGAGTCGCGGCTCGGGTGGTGGTGGCTGGAGATCGGCATCGTGGCCGGGTCCGGCTGGCCCGACGACCTCACAGCGTTCTTGTGCAGCGTGGTGTTGTAGTGCCTCTTGAGATGGCCCGAACTTGTGAACCATTTATTGCAAGCGGTACAGTTGTAGGTTTTTGGTCGTCGCGCTTCGTTTGACTTCCAATTAGCACCTTTCCCACCGATCGATGGCAAGGTTGAAGATGTGGGATTAGCAGGCTGTGTGCTTGTTATTTGAGGTGCCGCCGGAGAATCGTATGGCCTATAAGGAGGCTTCATATCCGGGTTGGAAGACGCCAAGCCAGCATAGTCAGTCAGGGGCGGCATTTGAACACCTGGATATATTTTTTGCTCTACATGCATGAATTGCTTTTGGTCATGATGCCCAGGAAGAAATTTGTCTTGGGCGTAAGCAAACTTTTGTTCAGGATGAAACATTTTGGCGTCGGTTGGGTATGGTGTTTTCTGCTCCCCGAACATTTTTTGCTCTTTGAATAGTGATACATCGCCGTTAATTTGGGGGTTGCTGTACAGCTTCTGCGTTTCCCATGGCATCATCGGTACCGTCCTGGTGTTGACTTCTCTGCCAGGTTGCGGGGCTTCATCATATGAAGGGTTTGGCTGCTCGCCCTCATTACCTTGATAAACGACTTTTTGTGAATCCAAGTCTAATATATCGGAAGATTCTTCATGTTCTTCCTTGATTTTTGTGTTGTCATTAGAATACCCAGAATTATTGTATTGCTTGCCTGGAAATTGTTGAAATGGCAGCGCAGCAGAATTGGGGCCTGAGCTGGTGCCAGCGTGAGCCGAGTTGCAGTGCTCGTTGAGCTGCACAGCGGAGTCGCAGACAAAGCCACACTTGTCACACTGGTTGGGTGATGGCGACGGGGTCGGCTGGTTCAAAGGCTGACCATACAAAGGACTTGAAGATGATACTTGTGACACACGATCTTGCATACTGTATGGGTGGAATCGTGTGGGTTTATGGTACTCCTGACTATACTGCGACTGTTCCCAATTTATTTGTTCGGAATGTTGATTTTGTGGAAAGCCAGAATGAGAGTAATTGTTACCGAACTGAGCTCCTGGTGAAAAGTTGGTTTGGTCCGGATTCTGGTAGGGCGAGGGTGCGCTGTGGTAGCTCTGCGGCGTGGCGGGGTGCGGGAACTGCGCCGAGGTCTCCGGCGTGGCGCGCTGCTGGAACTCCGGGCTCGGCTTCGTGATCATGCTGTCGCTGGAGTCAGCCGGGGCTGACACTGTAGTCTCCGATTTCACTTTTGCCCCGTTATTATTATCAGTGTCATTTTGAGAGTTCTGCGTGCCCCATTTAACGTACAAGTTTTCCTTGTGATATTGCAAATGTACCTCTAATGAATCAACAGTGTCCAGATAGAGATCGCAAACCTTACAATGGTAATCCCTCGACGGTAAGGTCGACGACACAGCGCTGCTGTTAGCCATTTAAATCATCAATCCAGCGGAGAGCACCGTCTCCTCCAACGAAAAAAAAATAATAAAAAAATAACACTTCTCGTGTCGACGTACATGTAGTCCGCGCTTGTGTTCAGACGCCACAGGTTAGAGTCATGGTCGCCGCTCCGCGTCTCCCCTCGCGATCCGACTTATACTACGGCGATGTTTTCGAAGAAAGTTTTTCGCGGCATTTCCGCGGGCGGGCGGGGGCGCGCCACGTGCGCGCGGTAAACACTCGCCGGCCACAACAAACCGCGCGCTCAGTCACTGCACTCAATGTTCACACAACTCGAGTTATTCTTCGAAAAGTTTCATTATCGCAGTTCACCAAACTTATTGTCACTGGTATGAGTCTTAATTAAAAATCAGTGTCTTTAAGTACTAAATCACAGAGCGGTTCGCGATGTTTGACAAGTTAAAAGTTGGCACTTGTTTGTAAACCCGGCAGCGCGGTAGTTTGTAGTAAAGATGGCAAGCGCGGCGCGGACACTGCGCGGGTCACCCGGGTACGGACGCTGTGACCGTTTACAAGCAACTGACAGCCTTCCCGAAGTCGCCTTCGGGGGCATGACTTCAATAACAATTCGCAACGTCGTCCCCCACCGAGGCGTGCGTGCGAGTGAGAGCGGCGCGCGGTGATGAAGTTATCGCTCCTTCGTCCTTTTGTGCGTCCTTGGTGCGAGCGAGACGGGTTTGCGGGAGGGGGGGCAGGTGCGGCGCGGGGGACGAGGCTGGTCCTACTCTTTCTCAAAATTGAAATGCCCGGTCGAAATGTCCGGTGATGCTGCGTCCGAGCGGGACAGGGATAGCACCCACCCTTGCGATGCGGGCGGACTGGCGGACTCAGCCCTGCGACGAATTTCTATAAATTTTAAACCTCGTCTTATTTTACTGAAGCTGGACCATCCAAAGTAATTATCGACAGTTTCATTTTTTTCTCTCAAAACCAAATTAAACACATGCTAAATGCTAAAACGGAGATTGTATTAATTGTTTGTGATATCTATTACCTACGTAACAGGAAAACCTATCTAATCTTGACCTGCCTTGACTCTCGGGGAGCTTAGACCAGTCTTTTATCGTATCTTTAAGAACATTTAGCACCTACCTGAATGCTAACTACTTCCACATTCAATGTCAATAACCGGCCAACTGCCCGTATAGTAAAATCTATTTACACATCTCGTGAATAAAAAATGATAGTCCGACTGTTTTGCTAATCTGCATAATTTAAAGCGTTAGATTCGATCTGCGAATCTCATAAATAGTTTATCTGATAAACAAGATAACGTGCAATGCCATCTCTAAGACGATTCACTCGACTTTTTTTAAAATAAGTTCATGCTTAAATTCATTTTAAAATTAAAATAGGTTCAGCTTATTGACGCATTGAAGTGCGTAGCTGTGGAAACATTTTGTATGCACTGTAGCTATAGCCTATAGGGTGCGATGCGTAGGGCACAAAATCTTGCATTGGCCTTCGAGGGACGAGGGGTGGTGGGCGATAGATAATTTCCTAATGATGATTGAAAGAAAGATGTTGATCTTTTATTCTGTTTTTTATCTTTTATCGAATGTAGGTTAGACGTGTGTTATTTTAGAGGGGGTTCGGGGGTCCAGCGGGCACCGGCCATGCAAACTATGGGGGAGTGACCATCGATTTTCTCGGCCTCCGATCGCTCCGTAGCCCACGCTCCCCTCTGGACTGGACCGCGGGTGTTCGCGTTTAGCATTTCAACTGAATAGTTGCGTAAATTTTAAGGGATGGATATTCAATTTTGAAAGCCGGCTATTTGTTGGCCGAAAGTGCACATTATTGTTTTATTATACTTCTGTGGCAGATAGATCGATGTATGATGATGACCTATTGGTAATGTAACAAAATTATGGTATCTACAACAAGTGATTGATCGTAATATTACGTTCAAGCGTTTAATAATGTAGACCTTTATGGATGGATGACATGGATGCCTAGCTACTTAAAGTTTTATCAGACACGAATGAAATCAATAATGTAGGTACCTACTTACTTCTATTATTGTACCTACTACCGCTACTTCAAGTAAGTAACTACTAAGTTACCAAAGTCAAGTTGCAAATAATTTTGGTATGTATTAATACATAGGTAATTAATAAATAATAATATGGATTTTTTGTAAGATATACTTTGCCATATAACTTGAACTCACTAGAATAAACAATTTTGAAGCAGTATATTGGCAACAATCCTAGGGGTGATCCTTTATCCCGCGCCAAAGTAGGCCCCGTTGTACAATCAAAATCAGTTCAGCAATAATGTTACAAACGTTCTTTACTTTAAATAAATAAAAGAAACACATAGATTTGTATAAATTTTGGCTTTCTATGATTTTAATGTCTATAAATACATAGGACCTACCACTTCTGCGTACTATTCAATCCACGTTTTGACATTAATGACACAAGATTTTAGCCTTACTTTTGACGAAGCTTTTGTATGAAGACTATCCATCTGGGCTTTATTAACTAGATACAATACCTTCAACATTATGGATGTTTTAGTAAGTTTTTTCGTTAGTATAGCTTTGGAATAGAAATCAAATCATCAATCAGAAGCTTTTCTAATTGTTACTTAATGGATTCCGTGGATAAGGTTACATTTATTTGTAAACAATCTAAAGGTCATTACACAAAGTCGTACAATCACAACATTCGCGAAGTTGTTTGCTTGCACAAAATACCTACTTAGGCTGAGTTGCACCAACTTACTTTAACCGTAACTATAACCATAACCGGTCTTTTTTGTATAAAGTTTGACAGACTTTTTATGTTCGTTAAAGTAAAGATGGTGCAACCCAGCCTTAAACCCAAACTAAGCTCCTGCTAACGTGTAGTTCTTAAACACGTCAAATTGGCATAGTACATGTCGTGGTGACGTAAAATTGACATGGTGGTGGACATAAGGATATAGTGGCTAGATTTTAAATCGAGGGTAAGCTGCAAAGACTTATCCCGATTTAAATGAAATTAATTAAATTCAATTAACTTAACCTAATTTAATTTAGGTAATAATAGAAAGCTTTTACTCATGGACAAGACACTAATTTAAAAGATTTTTATCCCCATGGGTTTGTTTAATTTTGTCTGTTTTTATACATTAATACTTATAAAGGTATGATATATCTTAGCTTTAGTAGAAAAACATATATTTTCTACCAAGACATAAATATGAATTATCACATTCCTAATTAGGTTTTTCTATTAACAAATTAGTATGTTTCCGGTGTAAAATATCCATTATTTTCCTTCATATTTTAAGACAAAATTTCAAGTTATTATGAGTACCTATGTCCTTTTCTAAGAACAAAACTATCATCAAACTTGCACAAATCTTATCCTAATCAAAACAAACGTATAAAAGGAAAATTGTTATCATCATAAATATAGAATCGCGAATTAAAGTTACTTATGTGCCCACTACTAGATATCCAGTATCCACGAAGATAGTTATTTTCAGCTATTAGAATGAATTTCTTCCCACGTTCTTCCCACACTTAGGATTGAAATATATTGTATAATAATCTTAAAACATATAAAAATAGTACTAGTATTTATAAATGTACCTAGGGAATTTTCCACTGCGCCTCTAGTCCCAAACTACAAAGCTTGTACCTACTGGGTACCAGACAACGGATATAAACATACATAAATATTTTTTTGTTGTTACATACATAATATTAATATAGAGATAGAAAACACCCAGACCAATATACAAACAAATACATATGTTCAGGTGCACAAAATGTTTGCATTGTGCGGGAATCGAACCCGCGACCTCAACATTAGTCCGTTACGATTTACAAACCACTACCCAAAGCCCTATACTGCACGTGGAACCAAATTAACATTATTAGGAAAAAAAAACGCAGGATTTCTTAAAAGCTCAGCATTGTGAAGCTTAAGCTTTCATGGAATTACTGCGTTAATAACAATGGCATTAAAAATCACCACGAGAGCTTGTGTGCGTGCTAATAAAACTATTATACAATAGGTCATTAGTGAAAGAGATAAAATTACAATAGTTTCAGCATTGAAGTCGCCGCTGACTGTACTTCTACTGATAACACACAGATTGTTAGCATTTTATCACCCCAGAAACAATTAGTGTTAAAAAGTATTAGGAAATAACAAATGATCACTATATTCAATTTATCTTACAAAGAGATGAATCAAAAAATATGTTAGTTTTAGAAATCCTTCAGTTTTTGACAATAGAGCTTTTAAGCTACTTCAGTCCATGATAACATAAGATAAGTCGTATTCCTGTGGATTTAATAAAAATATTCCACCGAATATTATATTTTTATACTCTTGTAGTGGGTGGTGCTAAGTTATTTGAGTAACTAGTTATTTTGGGTAACTCTCGGCCTTGTTGTATTAAAAATAAATAATAAATCAACATCATGTCACATTAAGGCTATCAAATCTATACTTATAATAAATCTGTAGAGAGGTCAATTCTGTACATGAAATATATTTTCAAAATAACTATCAGGGGGTGATTAGTGATCAATACTGATGCCAAAAATGCAATCAGTAAAATTTTTGTCTGTCTGTCTGTCTGTCTGTCTGTCTGTATGTTCCTTATAGAAACAAAAACTACTTGACGGATTTTAACGAAACTTGGTACAATTATTCTTCGTACTCCTGGGCAGGTTATAGGATACTTAGGAATTCCCACGGGCACGGGAATTAGCGGGAAAATCCTTTTGTATGAAAAATCTAAACTGCTTAAGTTAGACGCTTGAAATTTGGCATGCAGGTACCTTAGTAAACTGAAAGCTTAGTTACAACAGAATATTGCAAAATTCCCACGGGAACGGGAGTTAGCGGGAAAAAACATTTGTATGAAAAATCTAAACCGCTTAAGTTAGACGCTCGAAATTTGGCATGCAGGTACCTACCTTAGTAAACTCAAAGCTTAGTTACAACAGGATATTGCAAAATTCCCACGGGAACGGGAGTAAGCGGGAAAAACATTTTTATGAAAAAATCTAAACCGCGTAAGATAGATGAAGGGGGTAAAACGGGATTCACGCGTACGAAGTCGCGGGCGGCCGCTAGTTGATAATATGATGAGTATTATAATTAATGAAACAGCATAAATCGAATTTTCATAAATTTTTCCGCATTTTCCAAAATCGATATAGATTTATTGTTTGACACATTGAACAAGGAGATTTTTAAAGACAAGTTTTTAGCTACGAGTAGGTAAGCCTGAAATGCTCCAAGCTATTTAAGACTGGATCACCCCTTCGAAACTGTACTACTTTAGGTAAAACGAATGTGAAAAGTTAGCAGAAATAAGTTTATAACTGGCCTACCATTTTGATGCCACTGGCGGCTCATAGCGTTATTACAGCCCACTCGATAAAAGACCACTCACGTGAAGAGCCTTGAATGAACCTAGCTCACAAAACGCTAGTTTCAAGTAAAAAGCCCCCGTTTATTTAGGTCCACGCGGGCGTTAGTTGCTGCCACTAATAACACACATAATTAGTTTGTTCTTGTTTATTTTGCGGTCTTCAAAAACAACCTTTCTCGTCCAAAATTAATGTGGCCCTTAAC